GACTGTGAGACATGTGCATCTGGCTGTTGAGCACAGTTGCTCCTTGTATCCCTCATCTCTGTTTTCATGACTTCGTTAACTTGCATCAACTCTGGCTTAATGCTGTTACATGGGAAGTCCCGCAAAGGAGCAATTCGCATGTTTCATGTGGTATGCTCTTGTAAGTAGTCTGTTTCACCTGGCCTGGGGTTATGAGTTGTTACTTTGTCCAGTATATTCATGTTACATTTGCTACCTGCCCCTCCACCATGTATTCGTTGCCTTGTTTACCTGGTAAATATCATAGTATTATAGTACTTCTGTTCATATACTCACATTTTACCTAATAAGGGCCATGGCATTTATATATGCCAAAGAATCACCATAAACTGTTTCCTTTAAGTGAGGACTTGAAAGTTCTTGACTTAAGTAAATGATAAATAAGTAAATAAATAATGTCTGTCAACGTTGCTAAGGTTTGGTGCTGTCTGTGGTTTCAGAATTCACAGGGGTCTTAGAGTGTATCTCCTAAAAATAAAGGACAACAATTTTATTTTCTTCTTTTATGTGCTTTTCTGAGGTGAGGTTTTACTCTGCAGCCCAGGGTGGTCTGGTACTTACTTTGTGACTCAAGCTGGCCTCACGTTTGAAGTAGTTCTCATCAGTCTCCCGGGTGCTGGTAGGTCAGGTGTGAGCCCCCAAATTCAGTGCTGTAAACACAGATCCCTCCAAGGACACACAGCCAGCAGTGAGTGTCTCAGGCTACCTGCTTTTCTCCCCACGTCTGTGTCTTGTGTAATACATTACCAAGGGCCAAACAAGCCAGGATCATTTCTGTGAGTTCAAGGACAGCCTGAGCTACACAGAAAAATTTGATGCTATCTTGAACTATAGAACTAATTCCTGTCATAGCCTTCTTAGAACAAACAAATGAATGCCAAAGGCCTAAACACTTGTGGCAAATATTTATTAATTTTTAGTAATATAGCTTAGTTTGTATTGTATACTGCTGCTTATAGTGTTATCATCTATCCTAGAAGATCAGGAAAACCCTGTTGTTGATCAGTAATGGCTGGGGTTAGAGGCCAATTAGTTAGCTGAAAAAGAAAGCACACTTTTTAAAAAACGCATAAAAGGTGTGTTTATCTGCTTACCTATAGTGTAGAATAGGCCTGTTCTTAGTGAATCAGCTATCTAAAGTGCAGTCATTTTCTGACACAAAACCAATCCCAACATGTTTTCTCTGATTTCCTATCCTGTCTGTGCATGTGGACACATATTCCCGTGTCTTTGTGTGCACACCTATGCATATGTGAGTAAGGCCAGAAGTAACATCGTGTGTAACATGATAAATAAAAATAAAAGACCAAGAAACAGATAATGGGGTTCGAACTTCAAGCTGAAGATCAGAAAAGCAAAGCAGCTGGTCACTAGCTCTCACTCCACCTCAGACTGACAGGTGATCCCGGCTCCACCAAACCTCTCCTCAGTGTGGCTGGAGAACCCCGAGGCTTCAGTGTCTTCCTGTCCTCAGTGTGGCTGGAGAGTGGACGCCAGCTCTGAGACCCTGCTCCTATCTTATATACCTCCCCAATGCTGGGTTTGAGGCTGACTCTGCTTTCTGAATCTTCAGGCACGCTTTAGTGAACCATAATAACGTGTCACCACAATGGTGTGTGTTCTTCAGCTACTCTTCACATTTCTGAGACAGGTCTCTGCAGCCCTGGAGCTTTCTTTCCTCTTCTGCCAGGCCTGCCGGCCAGTGAACATCCAGGGTTCTCTTGTATCTGCCCCAGGACTGGGTTACAAACATGTGCTGCACGCCCATTTTTGTGTGGGTTCTAGGAACTGGGTCCTCACGTGGCAGCCATTCGCCCGCTGAGCCATCTCCTCAAGTAGCCCTAAACATTTATTTCTAAGGATATTGATAATTGGAGACCTTTCCCAAGTAACCCGTGTAGGCGTGCTTTTACCCAACTTTTAATAGTTGTTTAATCTAGTCATTTAGTGGTTTAGAATCTCCATCTAGTCTTTATGTGTTTGAGAAACATGCTTTTGAGTCTACCCACAATATGTAACTTTTTTTTTGATGCAACAATACTCTCTTTGCATCTGCATTTCACTTGTCTGCAGAAACGTTAATTAAATTACCTATGTAAAAATCAGTCACCTGGCACGATAGATTTAGACTAAAGCATCGTGTTGAGAGTGAGCCGTGGCTGGGCATGCCTTGCCCGTCAAGTAGGAGGTGAGAGCTTCCTTCCTCCGGCAGTTGAACACAGGGATAGAACCAGGAGAGAGCTACTGACTTAACAGAGGTCACGTGTGTCCGTGACAGAGGCAACGAGGTGCTCGTCACGGTAAGCGGTGTGACCATGCTCTCAGTGATAACTGCGCTGAGCTCTAAGCCCAGGTTGCTGCCTCCAAACCCAGGGCTTTCATCGTGCTTTGTATGACATGGTCAATTCCTGCAAAACAAACAAGCCAACAAGCCACGCGCTGCACTGAAGGTTCATCTGCATCCCACCCCACGGCCCCTGTTAAAACGATATGTAAAAGCACGGCACACTGACATGCTCAGCCAGGGCTATTCCGGTTTTTAGCTGAAGTTGGTACACTTTTCAGGTTACTCCAGAATACATGTAGAATTTACAAGCTCATTCATGTATGTACTGTTCATTGTGTGTATTTATATTACTTTGGTGGGACCGAGTGCCGATCTAAAGCCAACAGGGTTCTATGGTCTGTCTTTCTTAAAGGTTATTCAGTGGATTTGTGAACATGCCTCTGCCTGCCATTCATTTGACCTCATTCAGGAACTTCTGATTGGTAAGTGTTGCTGATGTTGCACTTAAGGCTGTGTACTTTTGCTTGGGGGAAAATCAGGACATTGATAATGAATGCCTCTGTCAAAATGCTGCTTAGGAGTGACGTTTTTAAAACTTCATTGCAATCAGCTGCTAATTAAATTTCATTCTCTTGTGGTGGCTTTTGCAAGAAGCTGTGGTTCTCAGAGACTGATGAGATATAAGATCAGATTTTGATTCTTTAACCTGATTAACAAAATTTTTGGTAAAATGCATCTTTCTTAGCCTTGTTTTATGCTGGTTGGCTATGTATAACTGGTATAACATTATCTGAGCAGAAGTGGTACCAAATGGATTTTTAGAAATATTATTTTCATTGTAAAAAAGAGAACCTGGACGTCTTATGCTGTAGATAAAATCATAATGGTTAACCCCCAGAGGCATGAATGAAGTGATGAAAACTTATTGGTATACTTGATTTGGTTAAATTGCATTTTTCCCTCTGTTCTTGTTATGTCATGTTGCTTTTAAAAATTCTCAGCTTCTTCCTACTGGAGTGTGTATCCAGAGCTGGCTGATGTGGACAAGCTCTTAGCACACTCCTCTGTGCTGGCTTGGAATGAGGTAGGTTAATAATGTACAGTAGGTCCAGCACTATAGGACAGTGGCAGACCATTCCTGTTATGCTGTCCAGTGCTATGATTTCACTTCTGTCTTCACCGGTAAGGAGCTGAGTGGAAGTTTCTTCTCAGAATGCATAAATAATCCTAATCAGAAATCTAAAATCTAAATGCTGTAAAATTGAGGGTCAATATGATGCCACATGTAAAAAATCTTACCATATAGAATATATCTATATCTATATACCTATAAATGTACATATGTATACATATATCTCCTATACAATAAAATCCTACATACATACATACATACATACATACTACATGCTTGCATATCTGAAATGCAGTGAATTTCTTCCATTGGCCAGAAGTGTTTACATAAAACAATAGACTTGATGGAGCAGGCAGAAGGTATTTGTCACTCTTTCTACTGCCAGGCAGAACTAAAGCTCAGTGACAGTATTTTATAAAATGACATTTTGACTCCTGTGTTGACCAGACTCAAGTATTTACTAGGTTTTTATGACTAAGAAGTGAGTAGAGCACTGTGTTAATACTTGGTAGGTGTTGACTTCTGTGACACCTGTCCCTAGTTTTATACGTGTTTATAAGAAATTTAGGCAGCAAAGCTTTGGGATGAATCAGTCTTCCTCTGCTTAGTTTGCTTGCTGCTCTTCCTGTCGGTCTGGGCTCCTTCCTTCCAGGGAGGGACACACCAGGGCTTCTGCTTGTCTCCTTTCCGTTAGATGGACCAGTGTGATTGCATCTGAAACAGGGCTTGAATTAAAAATGAATTTAGAGCAATAAATTCAATCTAGGTAACAGACGTTGGGAACTATGTAGTAGGGTATATTGTGACATTTTGTGTTTTGTCTGTGTCTCAATAAGTCAGTAGAGGCATACAGAGAGCCAGCATTCCCTACTCATGTGGGCTGGGCAGAAGATGTTGGAGGTTGTCCCGGGCTATATAGTAGTGATGCTCTGTCTAAAGACAAAGGAATATCCAAATACATTTGATTGATTTAATTTTTTTCTGTTTTATCTTCTTTTTGTTTTGAGACATGGGCTCATGTTGCCCAGCCTGACCTGCCTCAATGTCTGTGTGGCTGAGGACACCCTTAAATCCCTTATCCTTTTGTCTCCCCCCACCAGGGCAAATGTCATAGCCCGAGGTGTTTGATTCATTTATAAATTTATGTTGCTTACTGTAGTAGTCCCCACGCCCCTCCTTGCCATGCCCTCAAGGCCTTCTATGCTTGTCTTTTGAATTGTAGACTGTAAGGGGAAAGACCCAGGCTTCTCCTTTTTCTAGGCACCCACGTTGTCGTTTTTTCTTTTAGATGACTTACGGATGTAGAGGCAGACGCTGTGGTTATTATGTGCAGGAAGTCTGCAGGTTACACCATAGGGTCAGGAAATGTACAGCTCAGCTCCCTCTGCTTCTAACCACTGCTCTTTGTTTGAAGTGTGGGGAGGCAGGCTCGGAACCAGTGGTCCCTGGGCTGGATGCTGTGTGAAGCCACCATCCTAATGAACAGTGGTTCGTTTGTTCATTTCTCAAGGCTCCCTGGAGACTTAGTGAACATACACACAATGACATCTGATGTCCCACAAGAAAATGCAGAGAAACCCACAGTTATAACCTCTATACGCTTATCTTGGGGTTTACCGAGTTGCTTTAAAGCTTCTTGTGGTTAGAACAAGCTACCTTAAAAGGCATCCTCTGATCCCAGAGTTCTACGCATTTATATTCATCGTTAGCAATGATGTAAGATTTACTCTTCCTTTCCATGGTCTACAATGATCCCTAATGGACAACCTTTAAAAGTTTCCACACTGGGAAATATCAAGTTCACACATCTGGATAGAAAGATTGATATGGATTTTTTTATTTGATACAAAGAATTCACTGTGTAGCTCAGGTTAGCTAGCCTGGAGCTTCTCACTGGGACCATAAGTGTGTAGCACTATACCTACTAGCAATTGGATTTTAAAAATAAACAGTATTACAAAAAAGTAACTTGGAAAAAAAACAAAACCCACTCACTGAAGTTAACCACACCCAAAGTCTATATATTTCAATGGACTTATATACAGTTAATTAAGATACTAGAAATTAGAATGTTCTTGTTCTTAACTAATTCTAAAGTGTGTGTTGTAATTATAGTTGTTTTAAAATGTTACAGTTATGCCTTTTAAAATGCTAGTTAGAACTTACACAGGTTACTTTTCTTGTTGCTGTAACAAAATAATGTCACAAGAAACAATTGCCAAAAGGGAGCAAGTATTTCACCTCCAGTTTTAGGGGGTACAGTCCTACAGTTTTAGGGGATATAGTCCTATGGTTTTAGGGGATACAGTCCTACAGTTTTAGGGAATACAGTCCTTCAGTTTTTGGGGTACAGTCCTACAGTTTTAGGGGATACAGTCCTTCAGTTTTGGGGGTACAGTCCTACAGTTTTAGGGGATACAGTCCTTCAGTTTTGGGGGTACAGTTCTACAGTTTTAGGGGATATAGTCCTGTGGTTTTAGGGGATACAGTCCTTCAGTTTTGGGGGTACAGTCCTACAGTTTTAGGGGATACAGTCCTTCAGTTTTGGGGGTACAGCCCCACAGTCTTAGGGGTACAGTCCTTCAGTTTTGGGGTACAGTCCTACAGTTTTAGGGGATACAATCCTTCAGTTTTGGGGGTACAGTCCCACAGTTTTAGGGGATACAGTCCTATGGTTTTAGGGGATACAGTCCTATGGTTTTAGGGGATACAGTCCTTCAGTTTTTGGGGTACAGTCCTACAGTTTTAGGGGATACAGTCCTATGGTTTTAGAGGATACAGTCCTTCAGTTTTGGGGGTACAGTCCTACAGTTTTAGGGGTACAGTTCTACAGCTTTAAGGGATATAGTCCTATGGTTTTAAGGGATACAGTCCTATGGTTTTAGGGGATACAGTCCTTCAGTTTTTGGGATACACTCCTACAGTTTTAGGGGATACAGTCCTGCATGTTGGAAAAAGCATGGTGGCAGCAGCGGTTCACCCTGCACCACAGCCAAGAGTCAGAGAACGGCAAACACTCCTGCCTTGCTGGATTTATCTTCCTTGTGCAGCTCAGGACCCACAAGGAGTCTTCCACCTCAGTTCCCCTAATTTAGACAATGCCTCACAGACATATCCATGGGCCTGTCTCTGGTCATTCTAGAGAATCAACCTTAACCACCTCAGAGACTAATTGCAGTGCTGTTTGTAATGTCAACGAGTGAAACACACGTAGATCCTTAGCACAGATGCGCTGTGTTTCTGTGGGAACTCTGGGTCAGGTGCTCTGTGAGTTTACCCCTTCATCGCAGATGCAACCCTCCCATGGGATAGAGCGTCCTTACGATGCAGCCATTCACAAAGTACTCCTAAGTGGGTTTCTCTGCCATATGTTTTGAGGGAAATCTGAACTGACTAGCAGAGAGGCAGACTTCAGAGTTAACATACAGATACATTTTTCATAGTATCAATGAGGCAAGGGTAATTTGGGAAGTTTATCCTTATAAATACCACCCCACCCCTTTTAATGGACAGGGTCTCATATAGCTAAGGCTGGGCTCAAACTTACTATGGAGCCGAGGATGGCCTTGAACTTCTGATCCTCTAGTCTCTTTCTCCCTTGCCTGGGATTAGAATTCAACTACCCCTGGCCCACTAATCTTGATTCAGTGTTCACTAGTTAGCAGAATACGGTGGTGGGTTTCCTGACATGAACTGAGCATGTTTTAGCTTGGCTGTTGCATGGTGCAGAAACTCTTCATGGGGCACTGCTGTCCTGAGGTCATGGTGGACTCAGTGTGTGAGAATCCCACGAATTTTGGTTCCCTCTAGAGAGGAAAGGATCAGAAGGACAGGGAGGGATGGTGTACAACTGACGTGATGCTTTCATTTAATTATGACTCTAGTGATTCATATATAATTTGCCTTATTTGTTCTTAAGGAGGAATGTCTGAAAATACGGCATTTGTTCTGTATTTTCTCACAATAATCGCGTCTCCCTCCTTAGAGAACCTGTCAGCTTTATTTAAAGAACATTTCCTTTTCCAGGGCAAGAGACATGCTGTGTCCTGTTATTTAAAGTAGAGGTTATCACACAGGAAGCTAGCTGTCCTCAGCTCCTGTCTATGCAGAATTCGTTTCCTGAGGAGGCCTGGGGGGGTCAATATGCTGCATGTATGTCGCCCCATAGACCTTATGGGGTGGCTGATAATGTCTCTTGTATGTCCCTCCCCCACCCCATAGGAAATTCCTGGAGTGATGCTTGTGACAGAAGAGCTCCCATTGCTTCTTATGAAGGTGAGTCCCTCTCAAAGAAGGTAAAACCTTCATGTTTGAGTATCATTGTGGTTCCAAAAGGTATTGCAGCCTGGCAGAGACCTGTCCCAGCTCAGAACAGGGTGGGCCTGCATGTTGGAGAGTCCTGCAGTGCTGATCCACTGCTGTTTGAACAGGGAGGCTTTCTGAAGCTAGGAGAGAATTACAGAGCTCAACTTGAACTTGTCACCAATGCCTTATGAAAGGAGCTCTTGTAACATGTCTTTAGAGGCTGGAAGCTGTTATTGCTTCATTTGTAGTTTCTCCTTCAAATGCACACACACACACACACACACACACACACACACACGCACGCACGCACGCACGCACGCACGCACGCACGCACACTGGCACACTGATCTGGGCCTATCTCATTTCCTGGTAGCTCAAAGAGCAATCGGCCGCTGCATCCCTCAAAGGTGCTGGCAGTGGTGGCTTTGCTCCTTCCTGTGTGTGCAGCTGTGGGGCTTAGGAGGATGGGATGGGGCCAGGTGAGGAGAAAAGAATATGTACATAGTTAAAACTGGGGCGGGATCTTCAGCAAGCCTCTCTGCAGCTCCTTCGTTGCTTTTGGCATTGCTTCCAGCAATTACAGCCCGGCTAGCCTGGGAAATCTGTTTCTGGCATCAGTGTCTGCTCCTTGTGCCCATTCTTTGGGGCTGGACAGCTGGGGAGGCGTGGTGCTAAGATGGAGGCTGGCTTGGTGGGCCCTGGAAGACAGATTGGGCAGCTGTGTAGAGCCACTGTGGAAACTCTCCTAATGTAGGAAGATGAGAGAAAAAGTAATGTTTCACAGGCAGCTACAGGACAATGCTTCCAGTTTCACAGGTTGTGACTATACTAGTAATTCTCCCAAGCCTGGGATGTATCACAAACCAGTGTAGGTTTTTTTCCTTGTTCTGCTTTCGTGCTGGAGTTGAACTTGAGTCCTTGAGGTGCTGGGTAACTGTCCTACCCTGATGCTGTATCCTCAACCTCCTGGGTAGCTGGGTTCCAGGCATATGACTCTGCCTTGACTAGTCAGAAGAAAATGTTTAGAAGGAACCTAATCCACAGTTCTATAGTTTCTGGTACTTTCTCTTTGTCTCTGCCATAGGGGTGTCTATGTAACTTAGTAGTTATGGTAATCTAGAAACATTTGACCAAACAGGAATTCATAAACACTTTTCATGTGGTTATAGAAAGTAATGATTTCCCTGAGTTGGCATGTCTGAATTTATTTAGTCAGTTTTCTGCTTTGAACCATTTAATTATCTTGACATGATACACACATTTTCTGGGGGAAATAACTCAGTGTACACGAGGCCTTAGGTTTGATTCTTTGTACCACATGCTTTTTTTCTTTTATCCAATTAAAGATAATATTCCAATTACTATATTTTATATATTTATATACATGCAGTTTTTCTCTTGTTTTATTCCCCTAAGGCTAAAAGTTAAGAAAGCCTTATGGTAAAACACTATAACATTTCTCTATAGCTTTTATTTTTTCTTACTAAACTGGTATTCAACAAAAGTTGTGCTAATTTACATGGTCAAAAAGATTCACAGGAACTGAAGAAATGACTCAGAAGTTGAGAGCCTTTGCTGCTCTTCCAAAGGACCCATTATGTCAAGTGACTCACGTGACTCACAGAGCCCTCTGGCTTCAGCTCCAGGGATCCAGCTCCCTCTTCTGGCCTCTGTTGGCACCCGCACATGTGCATATACAAGGTTACACATACATAATCATGAATTTATGAACAAAAGGACTTAGGCGTTTATTGGTTTTATTACAACCTTATCAAGTGTGTATTTCCACTTTAAAAGGGAGTGATGAAAAAATCCTTTTTGTCTTTTTTCCTCATTGACTTATTGTAAGCCAATTAATTGTTGTCTTACAATGTTCTTACTGTATAATAATAAATGAGTTCTGATTATACTTCCTCTCTCTTAGTAAAGCCAAGGGAGGGAGGGGGCAAAGCGGGATGAGGCAACCCCCTCCTGCTTTGTACAAGTGTTTGATCTAGTGCTAGAGTCCAGTTGTGGCACCTCAGATTTGTTTGTTCGAGTCCTGACCCCCAGTGCAATGGTTTGAGGAGGTGACTGTGGCCGTGATTTTGATTGGTCATTATTATTTTTTTTAAAGATTCACAAAATCAACTCAATCCTTCCTACCTCCTGATATCATAATGAAAACAAGATTGTCTAAGAAATGGGCCCTTGGCAGACACTGGATTCACCACACCTTGACATAGAGGAATGTCTGTCATTTCTAAGTAGGACCTGAAAGGACTATGACTTGGAGAATGTTCAGGCAGGTTCCCCTGATATTTTACAAAAAGATTGTCACCTGAGAGACAAAAGGCCTCCTCATTTTAGAAATGGTTTACCAAATAATCTTTTAAAATGATATAAACTTGGGAAGGAGCTGGAGAGATGACTCAGTGGTAGAGAGCTTGGCTGCTCCTGCAGAGGACTTGGGCTCCGTCCCAGCAACCACATGGCGGCTCACAAATTCTAAGGGTCCAGCATCTCACGGTCTCTACAGGCAGAGGCATGCCCATGGTACACATGTACCTGAATTCATACAGGCAAACATTCATGCACATTTTACAAATCTTAAAAAAGCTGGTTTTTTTAAGTCAGCATATGATAACAAGGCCCATGCTGTAAAGAAATGTCAAAGTGATGTTTCTAAGACTGGCTTTATCCTTGGCAAACTGTGTGTTGCTCTGGGGAAGCAGCAACGTGTGTAAAAGTTTTAAAATTGCACCTGATTTTATAGTGAGACGAGAAACCATTAAAACTATTGAACCACAGGAAGCCAAAGAGGGAAGCTATAACTTGCTTAGATGTAAGGGTGAAGGGTTAGCATGCATCAAGTAGTGGAGATGGGCATCTTCACCAACGTAGGTTTTAAAGTCTGACTGCTTTCTTTTCCTTCTTTCCTTCATTCTTCTTTCTCTCTCTTTTATTTCTCTCTCTCTTTTCTTTCTCTTTCTCCCTCTGTCGTCCGTCCATCCATCCCTCCCTCCCTCCCTCCCTCCTTCCCTCCCTCTCTTCCTGGTTGATTTTCTTTTTTTTAAAGACTCTTGACTCTTTTTTGTAACCTATGCTCATCTTGACCTGATTGTGGTTCCTCCTCAGCCTTCCAAGAGCTGAGATTCCAAGTGCGGGCCATGTGTCTGGCTCAAAACCAGACATCGTTAGTGTATTTAATCGCTTGTTCAGCCACTCTTGAGTACCTGACCCAGAGACTGGGGAGGGCAGCCTTGAAACACTACCAGCTACAGCCGCTGATGCCAGTGTCTCAGGATACAGAGCTCCTGAGCATCCGGGAAAGTGTGCTTGCTACCTGGACTCTTCTCATCCAGACTTTGCATACATGCTTCTTCATTCAAAGTGTGTTAAAGCTGCTTTAACTAGACAGAGTAAGAGAAGAAGTCACTGCTTGATGAAGAACAAAATACACTAATTATCCTTGGAGTTCCCAGTGCAGACAGATGCCATCATTTGGGTAAAAATTTTGCTAGTGATCTGAAATATTGGCATAACCACAATATAACAGCTCTTTGGAATTGTTGCTTCCAAGTGACGTCTGGTTCTGGGGGAAATACTGATTTTCCAAAGTTTGGATTGCACATGTTTTCTGTGAGAGTGAGTTCCAGGGAGTTCAGTTCATATTGGGAATGTAATTCTGTGATGCCACAAAGCAATGTCATTATTATTCACAGAGCCTCAAGCTAGTGGATGAGTTCTTGCCATTTCTGTAGAGATGGGATCACCTACCTCCTAGCTATAAAACCGAGAGCCAGACCCGGGCCTGAAGATAGTTATTTCTGTTCCTTTATTACCAACCACTCTGGGCTGGGCTTCTCTTATCTGTACTTCCGGTTAGAGATATAATGTTCAATTTCTAAGATCGCAAGGAGGAGAAGATCTTAGTTGGCACTGGCTTTCTGTGGGCATATGCTCTCTAAGAAAGCTAACTGTAAGCTAGATGTCCATAATGATCAGTTACATTTAAAATAGTCCAGTCTACTAAAAACAACACGGACTGGCTGATAGTCCCCCACTGGTCAAGGGAGTGGGATTTTTGCCAGACCCTGGAGCAGAAGGAAGCTCATTTATATTCATGAGACTTGAAGAAGACAGCTGTGTGCTTGCAGCTAACTTAGTGGTCACCTCAGGAATTCTAGTCTTTTGCCACATGTAGGTATGCTCTTAGTTTAGTATTGCGCCTTTTGAGCCTCTGTCTGCAAAGACATTTTCTATTGCACTGTATCTATGCTAAAGGCAATGCACTGCCGGATTTCTCGGCGTTAGAAGTTGGTAATGAGATCAGATCCACAGCAGATCCGAAGAATACCTGCGCTCTCTCTGCTGGCTGAGTCCTGGTGCACACAGTAAAGGATTCCCTCAGAGCAGGCCTCCTCCCCAAGAAGATGCCAGTTAATTAGCAGAAGTAGGACCAAAGCCAAGAGGGTCTTTGAGAAATGGGAGGGTCTTTGAGAAATTGGAGGCAGATATTTACTCCCCAGTGATTTGCAGATGATCCAGTACCATGGGCCCCTTTTGTTCTGTTTCTAGATAGACTAGCAATGCAAATCCTGAATGGGAAACAGCCCCTTCATGTAACTGGCCCCTTTGTTTAATTAATAGCTGTGATGGGCTGCATGCGGAGATTACTTTATGGCATACTAAGAGTCAAAGCAAGATGATTTTTGAAGAAGAGATGGGAGTCATTTTTTTTTCTCAAAGTAAATGTTAAACTCCCTTTGTACAGGGAAACATGCTTTTGGGCCCTTCCTCAAGAATCTCATCACTTCTTAAGCCAGGCACCAAGGACTAGCTAAGCTCATAGATACTTTTCACAAAGAACTTTTATATATTTTACAGATTTATTTATTTTTGTTTCTGTGTGTGTGTGTGTCTGCATGTTTGTATGTGACTTCATGTGTGCAGGTGCCTGTGGAGAGCCGTTGGATTCCCTGGAACTG